ATTCTCACTTCAAAAAAATTTTAATGCAATATCCACTTGTAAAAAAAACAATTTTTAAAAGGGATATCTTTCTTCTTTAAGTAAATCACAAAGGGTTCATAAGTCATAAACTGTTATATTCTGTGCTAATAGGAATATATACTTGAAAAACAAGGTGGATAAAATAAGTAAAGGTTTATTGTACAAAACCAGTACAATAAGAATAAAGGTAACAGTTATGCACAAAGTCATCACAAGTCAATCCAGTAGTGAGTGCTACTACTGGAAGGTCAGTAATTCTCGCATAAGTCTGAGTCATACTCAACAGATCCCAGCTAGTAATATTTACCAACCTCCCCACAGGGTAGAATGTGGCACAAGGCAGAATTTAATGTGGAGGAATCCGAGCTCATATGCTTGGCCAAAAATTCCCCGTAAACCCTGCATAAACAGGTTTGGGTCTGTCTACCTCCCCAGACGAGACTCTGTCCTTCGGCATAGCCTTGTCCAGGTTCCACTCTGCTCAAAAACAGAGAGTTCGACAACTATATTTAGCTACCCCCACCCACGAGGGTTGCATGTGGCACAAGGCCAGTTTAACGTGGGTTCTCCGAGCCCGTAGGCTTGGCCAAAAATATTCCCTTTAGAACCGGTATAAACGGGTTCAGGGGCAGTGTACCTCCCTGAATGAGACTCTGCCCTTCAGCAGAGCCTTGTCTGGGTACCTTTCTGCTTAGAGGCAGAGAGTTCAACTGTTTAGCTGGAACAGAGCCCAACTAGACTCTGTAGTCCCTTGACTTACAGATACTTATAAGTAGTTACTACCTATAGTGTAGTCACTCATGGGAGTGACAGGTTATTCCATTACATCATAAACAAAAAAAAAAGAAAAAAAATAACAAAGCAGTGTATTTAAAGTTCAAATTCTAGTTTTGTCTGTTGCATTCACTTTCACACAAGTATCCTTGGGAAAGGCATAGATCCATCTCCTCCTTCCCAATATAGGTTGAATAGTTGCACATGTTTCTGTAAAAATGATTATTGTCAAAAAAATTATTAATGCAATATTCACTCATGAAAAAATAATTATTCTTACAATTTGAAACATATTTCAGCTTTAAATTACATATGAAAGGTTGATAAGTCATAAAGGAAAAGCAAGACAAAGCTGAGTATTTAAAATTATTAACGTCCAAGTTTGAATTCTGGTTTATTTCTTTGCATTCACTTTAACATAATTACCTATGGGAAAAGCATGAATACTTCTCTATTCCCCCAGTTATGGGTTAAATAGCAGGGTTGGCTGAAAACTCATGTAAGTTTATTTTAGCTGTGTATTTAGGATGTGTGGGTGATGAAATGGATGATATCTCAGAATGATAAATTGGAGAATCGTGTTTGAATTCCATTCAGGTTCGTTATATTCACTTACACGCAAATGGTAAACATATTTTGGCATCCTTCTTTTCATTTTCCTTTTTAGTTCCTTGTATTTAGTCTTGTCTAGGAAATCCTTTAGATAGGGAGCCATTATAAAATAACAACCCAACACTTACAATCCAAAATATATTTTGGCTTTAAACAACCTACAAAATGTTGATAAGCCATAAAAAAGAAAAAGAAAGCTGTGTATTTGAAGTTATAGAGAGAGAGACATAGAAAGCTATATATATATATATATATATATATATATATATATATATAAAGCTATATATATATATATATATAGAGAGAGAGAGATATATATATATATATATATATAGAGAGAGAGAGAGACATAGAAAGATATATATATATAGAGAGAGATAGAGACATATATATATATATATATAGAGAGAGACATAGAAAACTATATATATATATATATAGAGAGAGAGAGACATAGAAAGATATATATATATATATAGAGAGAGAGAGAGAGATAGAAAGCTATATATATATATATATAGAGAGAGAGAGAGAGAGACATAGAAAGCTATATATATATATATATAGAGAGAGAGAGAGAGACATAGAAAGCTATATATATATAGAGAGAGAGAGAGAGATAGAAAGCTATATATATATATATATATATAGAGAGAGAGAGAGAGAGACAGAGAAAGCATATATATATATATATATATATAGAGAGAGAGAGAGATATAGAAAATGTATATATATATAGAGAGAGAAAGAGAGAGATATATAAAGCTATATATATATATATATAGAGAGAGAGAGACATAGAAAACATATATATATATATATAGAGAGAGAGAGAGAGACACACACACACACACAGAAAACTATATATAGAGAGAGAGACATAGAAAACTATATATATAGAGGGAGACATAGAAAACTGTGTATTTAAAGTTATTAAGATCCAAGTTCAAATTCTTGGTTAGTCTATTACATTCACTTTTGGAAAAGTGCCATTTGGAAAGGTATGAGTGCATCTCTTCACCTCCTGGATATGTATGAAATAACAAGGTAGACTGAGCTGTCTAGCCTTCAAGTTAACCCCTTTTTTCTTATAACCTTTTTATTGCAATAATTATTCTTGCTCTCCCTCCCTCTTTTATTTTGATATATTTGTGTATATATTTATATATACTTTTAAAATGTCTGTTTAATAATGCTCTGTTTTTTAAAAATTTTATTTCTATGCTGAAAAAGAAAATTATCATTATGCTCTGTTTCTTTTTTCTGTGTTAAAATTGAACATTATCATTATAATAAACCTCTAATCTTTTCTATTTTATTGCTATGATAAAAAAGAATAAAAGAAAACAATATTAACTAATGACTGTAAAATATGATCTCTTGAGTTGTTTCAACCAAATCAATGCCAGGTAACCTTGCTTGTATTAGAATATAATAAAACACCCAGAATAGAGGGAATAAAACAACATGGGTAAATTAAAGAATCTTTTCACATCAGATACCCAAAGACTACAATTTATGATATATGGGCAGAACCAAACATTGTGGGAAAGAAATCATTTGTTGTTTACTAGCGTCATTGTGTAGGTGGTCAAGTACGTGTGACGAGGGCAGAAAAAAAAAACAACTGCTTGACCCTTAACAATCACAGTTCCTTTTTTCTTTTAACTACAATCAAAGAAATGTGGTTGTGTACTAAATGACATAATCAGTGTTGCCAAATTTATGGCATCATTTCCATGGTGAATTTGGTTTGTTTTTCGCTAGTTATTTTTACTGGCAATGGGATTTCAATCCTGAAAAGTTTTTTTTTTTTTTAATCATTTCACCCTAAGAAAGGCAATAAAGCCACTAAGATTACTGAGTGTGAAAGAACCTGAGAAAAAAAATTATTAATGAAAGAGATCAATAAAAGAACAGGAATTAAGACATCACAAGATAATAATTTATATTGCATTTAAATTTTAGAAGATCAAATTTGACTGGAAAGCAAGAAGCCAGAAGATAATTCCACAAGTGAGAAGTGCGAGAGAAGATACTGTCAGCATAGAACTTACAGTTACATTTATTTCAAGTGTAAAATAATAAGACCTATCTACTGATCTAGTACTGTGCTTAAATACATAAAGTGGAGATACTAATGCAATATGCTCATCAGAACAATTACCATGAAAATATTTATATATAAAAGGCACAAGGAACCTACATTACACCAATGGATGCAGGACTGATAACATAAAAGATTCTTAATGACTCCTCTTACTACTTTGACTTGGACTGTTACTTGAATTACTTTTTCTCTTATGAAGACAGTTTTTACATGACAGGAAATAGACTTGACACAGGAAGATTTGTTAATGACTTTGACTCAGACTTTGACTTGAATTGTGAACTGACAATTTGATACATTGTTTTTTATTAATACCTGCCATGTGGACATAGTAGTAGCTGCATGAATACATACAAATATTTAACAGAAAAATGCTCAGCTCTGAACTATGTTACTTGAAGATTATAAAATTTCTAATATCTACACATGCTTAAAATCTAGAATGTTGTTGATTTATAAGTTGATGTTTTAAATGTGTTTTTTTTTTCTTTCTCTGTAAATTATAAGTTCATTATATTTTATTTTAAGTTGTTATCCACTCAATATTGTTATTACATAATAATACTTTTTCCTAAAAAGACGTTTTTTATTTCAATTGAAACTGATTAATTAATAGAATATGTACTAAGAGAGTGTAATTAGAATCTGTGGGATTTGTTTGTTTTAACAACTCTTAATTTAGACAGATTTTAAATGTTTTTCTTCACAAACACTACTTGCTAATTGATCTACTCAAATTTGACCTTTATAGTAGACAATTCAAGTAACAGTCCAAGTAAAAGTAGTAAGAGGAGTCATTAAGAAATCTTCCTGTGTCAAGTCTATTTCCTGTCATATGAAAACTGTCTTCATAAGAGAAGAAATTCAAGTAACAGTTCAAGTCAACGTAGTTAGAAGAGTCATTATGAGTTGGATGAGTTTAATGGTTTTTATAAAGTGTTTGGAATGATCACTAGTGATGGCAAAGTTATGCCTCTATTCATATTCCCACAGGACTTCAGACATAACATGGAGGCCTACATCAAGCACCTTGAGCATGTAGTGCTGTTATGGGTCATGATTGTGGCTGCTGGAAGACCCTCTATCTGACAACAGGACTCTAAACCATGTCACACAAACAGGTAAATCCAGTCATGCCTGTTGGACAATTTCTGTAACCACATGACTCCTTATATCTGGCCACCTAACTCCTCAGAATGCAACCCCCTTGATTATGATGTGTAGGGTGCAGTTGAGCGAGAGGCCAACAAATCTCCTTGTAACACCGAAGATGAACTGAAGGCAAGGATTATGGCAGCATTCAGCAACTTAAACAAGGAGACTACCCAGAAGATTTTCAGAAGTTCTGAAGTTATTTTGAGGTCATGTTTGAAGCCAATGGTGATTTTATTGAATAGATTTACTCTTTAGTATTGTTTTTGTGTAACATTGGTAAATATATCTGTTAAAATGCTTTTATGTTTTGTGTAATTTAGACAACAATTTATCCATTGTACCCTGGAGAAAGACAGATAAATAAGAACATAGATAGATAGATAAGAATAGAGATAGATAGATAGATAGATAAGAATAGAGATAGATAGATAAGAATAGAGATAGATAGATAGATAGATAAGAATAGAGATAGATAGATAGATAGATAAGAATAGAGATAGATAGATAGATAAGAATAGAGATAGATAGATAGATAGATAAGAACATAGATAGATAAGAATAGAGATAGATAGATAGATAAGAACATAGATAGATAAGAATAGAGATATAGATAGATAAGAACATAGATAAGAATAGAGATAGATAGATAGATAAGAACATAGATAGATAAGAATAGAGATAGATAGATAGATAAGAACATAGATAGATAGATAAGAATAGAGATAGATAGATAAGAATAGAGATAGATAAGAATAGAGATAGATAGATAAGAATAGAGATAGATAAGAATAGAGATAGATAGATAGATAAGAACATAGATAGATAGATAAGAATAGAGATAGATAGATAGATAAGAACATAGATAGATAGATAAGAATAGAGATAGATAGATAGATAAGAAGATGTATAGATAAATAGATAAGATGAAAGATAGCTAGCTAGATTGATAGATAAATAACAGGGTGTGATAGTATGTTAGACAGGAACAGATTTAGGCTGTTGAATAAAAAATTAGATTGATTTCTTTTTTCTTTTTTATAGCTTACTAAAGCCAAGACATTTTGGATTGTAAGGATAATTATTTTCTATTTTTTATTATGTGAAAGAATATTGCATTAACAATTTTTTAAGAATAGCAATAATTTTTCCAGATACAAGTCCTACTATTTAACCCATAACTAGGGGAAAATTGTTTCTTAATTTTCCCAAGAGTGTTCACATGTAAGCGAATGTAATGAACCCAACTTGAATACAGAATTGGCTCTCATCCCACACATCCACATAAAGAAGAGATTGTGACAGATGATGTAAAGAGTAAGATAGATATTCAGAAAACTTACATGAAAAGTTAATGTAGAGATATATAGATAGATAGGATGACTGAATATTTATCACCCAGAATATGCATGCATGTATATCTATCCCCTTTCCTGTGCCTCTATCTGTATCTGTCTCCCTTCTTATGCCTGCATGTCAATCTATCTCATTATCTCTATTGCTGCATGCATATCTCTGTCCCTACCAATACCTGCATATATATATATATATATATCACTGCCTATGCCTGCATGTCTATCGATCTCCCTGTCTATTTGTTCATGTCTATTTGCCTGCATTATCTAATTCCTTGCATATGCCTGCAACATCTATCTCCTTGCATATGCCTACATGTTTATTTATCTCCCTGCATATGCCTACATGTCTGTCTATCTGTCTATGCTTACATGTCTGTCTACCTCACCCTGCCCGTGCCGGCATGTCTCTGTTCCTGCCTATGCCTGCATGTCTATCTTCCATCTATTCCTGCATGCTTATCTATCTCCCTGACTATTCCTGTATGTCCATCTATCTGCCTTTTCCTGTATGTCCATCTATCTCCCTGACTATTCCTGTATGTCCATCTATCTGCCTTTTCCTGTATGTCCATCTATCTATCTCCCTGACTATTCCTGCATGTCCATCTATCTATCTTCCTATTCCTGCACGTCCATCTATCTTCCTATTCCTGCACGTCCATCTATCTTCCTATTCCTGCATGTCCATCTATCTTCCTATACCTGCACGTCCATCTATCTGCCTATGCCTGCATGTCCATCTATTTATCTATGCCTATGCCTGCATGTCCATCTATTTATCTATGCCTATGCCTGTATATATATATATATCTATCTGCCTATGCCTGTATATCCATCTATCTGCCTATGTCTGCATGTCCATCTATCTATATGGATATGCCTACATGTCTATCTACCTCTCCCTGCCTCTTCCTGCATGTCAGTCTGTCTATCATCCTGCCCATGCCTGCATGACTCTGTTCTTGCATATGCCTGCATGTCGACCTCCTATCTATTCCTGCATGCTTATCTATTTCCGTCTATTCCTGCATGTCTATCTATCTCCCTTGCTATACCAGCATGCCTATCTAACTACCTGTCTATGCCTGCATATATATCACCCTGTCTATACCTGCATCTATGTATCTATCTATCTGGCTCTCTATGCTGGTATATCTATCTATCTATTTACCTGCCTATGCCTGCCCATCTATCTCATTACCATTGCTTTCATATCTCTCTACCTGATTATGGCTGCATGTCTATGTATCTACTTACCTGTGCCTCCATGTCTATCTGCCTACCTATTCATTAATGCCTACGTAATGGAATTGGTTTAGCTAACAGGTAATTAAAGAGAGCTATAACTATAGTCAGTGTATGTATAACATTTATGGTTACTAAGATCATCATAACAAAATGGCATCGCCCGACAGAGCTCTGTTGAACACAGAAGAACCTGAAAACGTGAAGACTTGGATAAAATGCTTTGAGACATATGCAAGAATAAAGACGTTAAAAGATGACCAAACATCTGAAGAACAAAAGGAAATCACGGATCTATCTGTGGCCACTGCGCAATGCGAAGCCATTTTGCAGATTTCATTAATGACTTACCTGGCTGAAATTGAAAACTTGACATTTAAAAAAGTCAAAGAAATAATATTGAGAAATATTCAACCAAAGAAAAGATTAGTCATAGCCGAATGAACTAAATTCTTAGCATTGAAACTAGAATTTGGGGAGCCTGTAAGGAAATATCTAAGATGGTGAAGAGATACCAGCAGATATTGAGAATTTCATGAACTAGAACAACAAGAACTAGAACAAGCACAGAGCAAGAATTAATTCAAATCTGATTGGTAGAAGGACTTCACAACACCTCATAGAGTAAAAATTTTAAAGTGGTTACAAACAAACCAAATGACTTTAGAAGCTTTTATTGACTTTGTACAACAAGAGGAGTTAATTGAAAAATTTAATACAAATGGAAACCAACTTGAGCTTATGGACACGTGCGATAAAAAGAACAATGATAAAATGCAGATATTGCAACTATAAACATGAATCAAAGAGAGAGAAATGTCCAGCAATGGGGACAGACATGTAATAAGTGTAAAAAGAAAGAGCGCCTTCAAGTCGTATGTAGATGGTGAGATACCAATGTAAAAATTGTCAAAATAATACACGACAATGTTAAAAGTCAAACAAACGCTTTTTTCAACAGAAAGGTGAAACAAAACGAACACCTTCACGAATATTAAATTAAATTGTGTAGACTTAAAAATGCAAGTTGACACTGGAAGTGAAGTGATCCTTATTCTGAAGAATTTTGGGGAATAATTATTAAAACCAAAATTAAAGAAAAGCTTAGTAAAATTAAGACAGTTTGATGGAACGTGTATAAAAAAATATTAGGGTTCTTTCAAGTCACTTTTAAAGCAAAAAATAGATTTGAAACCGTCACTATTATGGCTGTAGACTGTATAAAAAGTCACGATCTAGTAGGAATTGATTTGATAAATATTAATAGCAAATGTTTACTTAATTCTATGAATACAGGAAGTCCCGAAACTGGAACATTAAAAAACGTTAAGTCAAAAAGAAATATCAATCCATCGAATTTTGAAAGATGTGGGCTTCCCATTCATAAAGCCAATGGTAGCTGATAAGCTGCAAAAAATAGTGGAAGAAGGCATTTTTCAATATGTGGAACCTGGAAGCAGCAAATGCATATTGCCTATTGTGGTTTTTAAGAAAGCCTGATGGTGATTTTAGACTTTGTGGAGATTACAAAGTAGGTGTAAATCATAAGATTTGTTCGGATTCCTACCCTATTCCAAACATAAAAAACATGGTACATTCTCTGGCAAGAATGAAATATTTTACGAAAATTGATTTTAAAAATGCGTACCACCAAATTCAAATAGATGACAAATTTAAGGAAACCGCAAAATAAACTCCCCAATAGGCTTACGTAGATGGTCCTGCTTACCATTTGGAATTAAGCCATCAGCTCAATTTTTCAAAACGCTGTGGAAAATTTGTTTGTGGGGAGAGTAGAAAATATGATAATTTATCAGGACGATATATGTTTAGGTGTGCGCACTGAAGAAAAACTGAAACAAAAAAACTAAATTTGTAATGGATAAGTTGAAGACAAGAGAAGAAACATCATAGAACTTAGGTCTTATTATTTTACACTTGAAATAAATGTAACTATCTACTGATCTAGTACTGTGCTTAAATACATAAAGTGGAGATACTAATGCAATATGCTCATCAGAACAATTACCATGAAAATATTTATATATAAAAGGCACAAGGAACCTACATTACACCAATGGATGCAGGACTGATAACATAAAAGATTCTTAATGACTCCTCTTACTACTTTGACTTGGACTGTTACTTGAATTACTTTTTCTCTTATGAAGACAGTTTTTACATGACAGGAAATAGACTTGACAAAGTGGAGGAAGACAGGAATGACGATAAACAAAGATAAGTGTATATTTAATCGCAAAGAATTAACATTCTTGAGTTACCAAATTTCAGAAAACGGTACTTCGCCGGACCCGACGTTAATACAAAAAATATTAAATGTATCTTCTCCAACTAATAAAAAAGAATTGGAAACATTTCTCAGATTAGCCAATTTTTATAGCAAATTCCTGTCAAAATATTCTGAAAGAGATTTTCTGTGTTGCAAAAGAAGAATAAGAAGTTTGAATGGATTAGTACATACCAAACAGCCTTCATTAAATTAAAAGAAGCTCTATTTAAAAAAAAAAAACTGTGGTCAAAATTTTGGGATGAAAGAAGAGAAAGGGATGTTACATTAACCACAGATGCAAGTGGCCAGTCTGTATCGGCAATTTTGTCCCAGGAAGGACACCCGGTGATGTATCTTTCCAGGACATTGACACCAGCTGAATTGAACTATTATAATATTGAAAACGTATCACTTGCGATTGTATGGAGTATAGCCAGAGCAAGACAATTTTTATTAGAAAAAACATTTTTGTTGAGATCCGATCATAATCCCTTAGAATTTATATTCCATCCTAGGAAGGAATTACCCAAAGTTACATCATCCAGAATATTAAGATGGGCTATGAAGTTAATGGCTTTTGATTATGATATAGGATACGTCAAAGGAAACACGATACCACGCGTAGACGCATCGTCCCAACTACAATTTGAAAAGGAACAAAACGAAAAAAAACAAAAAAAGTTGAGGATGAATTTTTACATTGGGTGTAAACGGATGTATTGCCCATGAATGGACTAGTTATGGAGACGTTACAAGACCCAGTCTTAAGTTAAATTTTATCTAGAATAAGGAACAATAAATCGAGTAATTGTTCAAAAGCAGAAAGATCATACAAAGAAACCAGACACAAACTATCAATAGAAAATTGTTTAGTTTGTAGTGGGGATTTAGTCGTATCACCGTAAAAATGTAGAAAAGAAGTAATTAAAAGTGTACATGTTGATGTGCATTGTAGGAGAACTGCTACACAAAAACGGCCAAAACTGGAAGTGTGGTAGCTGGGACACACCCAAGATGTGGAGAATTACGTACGCAAATGTTCTATATGGGCCCAAATAAAGAATTTTCGCCACAATAAGTTACACACTTGGCCTAAGGAAACAACCATAGTCTAGAGTTCATATGGATCACGCACAAGTTAACGAGGTAGGTTTATATCTAATACTGGTTGACGCTTTTTCCGCCTGGCTTGAAGTTTTCCAAGTTCAGGATAAAAAAATCTATTACTATAAAACAAATATTCTATTACTATAAAACAAATATTACGCATAATATTTGCTAGAAATGAAGTACCAAAAACAGTAAATATTAATGCTCACGAATTCTGTAACGAATATCTATGCTCATGGTTAAGGAAGATTGGCTATGTCCCATATAAAACACCTCCTTACCACCCTCGATCAAATGGGATTGCTGAGTGAATGGTTCAAACAATAAAAAGCATTTTCTTCTCAGCAAGAAAAGATTGAAACTTTTCTACCAAGATTATTGTTGAGTTACGGAATGATACCACATGCTGACTGATTAGAGAGCCCGTCTGCATTAATGGACAGATAGATTAGAGCTCCATTAGCCATGTCTTACTCTATTAATGAAAACATATGGTCAGTTAGGTGCCATGCGTGATACACGCTTAGGCGATCATGTATCTTTCGATGCATGACTGGTGAGGCAGATTTTTTCCCTCGGTAGGTTGCCATTTCTTTCTGCAATAGACTAGTTACCATCCAAGGCTATAGAAGCCATTCTGTCCTGCTATTTACCCATAGATGGCGGGAGAAGAAGAGAAGTCATACCTTTCTCAAGAGTATTAGCACGTAAGGAAATGTAGTGAATTCGACTGGAATTCGAACTCTGCTCTCTGATTCCTCAATCCGAGCCGCTATCCATTACTCCACCGTGTCTCCTACATATGATACAAAAGAAATAAAGAAAACGAGCATAATGAAAAAAGGATACAACACAGCTTTAATATGCAAGAATGGTAAAAAAATATTGTTGCCCATGCAGACTACTTAAGAGCTAGCCCAAATTACGAGGAAGTAAAAAGTAAACCTAGTTCGAATGACTATTTAGATGATGAAGAAAGCAGAACAGGGGAACCAATGGGCGATGAAAGTTCTTCAGGTTACTCGGACTACGAAACATGGGACACTGAGAATAAATGAACTAAATCAAGGTAAAAAATAATGAGAAATACTCATGAAACCAGTGAGAGGTGGGAGGATGAAGGAGAATCCGTAGATCCATGCAGGGCGTGAAAATCCAAAAATTCAAGATGTAACTGGCTAAAAGATAATATAAAAAATATATCACCATAGCACAGGGGCAAGCTTGAGTAAGTGTAGGTAGAATATCTACGGCTACTAAGTTGGATTGTTGCAGACCCGGTAGCATGCAGTGCTGGTTTATTAAAAGGTGGCCTTGTGCCAGACACAACTTATGACTACCGAATCCACAAACAAAGTAAGAATATTAAATGAGTGATCTTTAGTGAGGAAAGGGGTCATTTGACACATGCACAAAAATAGTAAAATATAGATAGCCAGGATTAAACGACAAAATGAGTCTGGTGGAAAACATATATGAAATTTTATTTGGATAACAAATAATTTTGTCTCAACAGTGGAGACTAAGGTCTGTTTTTAGCTTGTAGGCAGTTAGTAATATGCAGAGACTAATAAAATGTTAAAGTTCCGCGCCAAAACAGAAAAAACCAAGATGGCTAAGGCGGGAAAAGTTTCTTCAGAATGAAAGTTCTGGAATAGTGTCTTTTTGTACGAAAGGTGTAAGCATACACAACAAGGAAAAATACTCACTGCGAGGTTTAATAATGTGTGTGTGTAATGCTATCTTCTTTTTAAAACTTGTTTGTAAAGGTTAGAATTCAAAAGAGGTGTATGAAAAGTTTATCAATCTTCAGTGAAAGAAATTCTGAGTTATTCGCATCAAGACGAGGAATTGGTCTTGGAAATGTGTGGTGACGACAGTGTCGTAGATTCTGGTAGAAAATGAAGTAGGTTCAAACATGTTCACTTCAAGACGAGGAATTTGGTCTTGGAAAAATATATTAACGACAGTGTCGTAGTCTCTACATTTTCTAGCTGAAAACGGAGGAAAGTTCAACATGCTGTTCGCATCAAGACGAGGAAAAATCTTGGAAAAGTGTGATATCGACCGTGTCGATACTCAACGTTTTCTAGTAGAAAAACGGAAGAAGGTTCAAACAAGTTGTTTGAAGAGAAGTTGTAATCACACGACATGTTGAAGTTTTGGTTAGTTAAGATATTCCGGCCCGCGTATGGGTTAGGGGCACGGAATAAATGAGTCAAACCATCTAGTTTGAAAATCAAGCGGCGACTAATTTGAAAACGCTGTTCGTCTGTGACGTCAGGACACGCGCGGGAAAAAATTCAAATTCTGATTTTAGACGGTATCAGGAGTAGCTAGCCAGCAACCTCCCTCACGTCAGCGTTTACTGCTATATCTAGCTGAACGTGACAGGAAGGGGTGCAGTCCGCGCGCGCGCACACACACACACACGCAAAAGGGTGGAATTCACGATTCCACAGGATCATCATAACGGTCTACCTCCCTACCTCTGCCAGCATTATCTACCTATCACCCTGCCTATGCCTGCATTATTTATATATATCCCTGCCAATGCCTGCATTATCTACCTATCTCCCGGCCCATGCCTGCATAATCTCCCGGCCCATGCCTGCATTATCTCCCTGCCCATGCCTGCATTATCTCCAGGCCTATGCCTGCGTTATCTCCCTATCTCCCAGCCTATGCCTGCATATCTATCTATCTATCTATCTATCTATCTATCTATCTATCTCAGTCTGTTCGTATATATTTATCTATCCCTTTGTAAATACTTTGTTTCTATCTGGATTTATAGATGTCTAGAATTAACCTGGATAAATATTAAATGACTGCTAAATATAGGGAAATGAACACATCAATACTTAACAGATAAATTGTGATATACAATAGACGGTTTTCGTTGATAGCAGTAAGCATATCTATTTGTTTTTCCGTTTTTTTTTAGTTTGGTTTTGTTTTTTGTTGTTTTTTGTTTGTTTTTTTTTTTTTTTTGTTAACTTCCAAGTTTCCCGCTTAAATACACGCACGAATAATTCAAACCCTTTCTTGGACTACCCAGATTCTATACTTTTCATCTTTTGCCTCCTTTTTCATTTTCACGTCCACTATTTAACCGAAGTTTGTAAATATAGTTAAAAATTTCGGTGATGACAGTCTCAGTTTATAGAGAAACGCTTTACATATGACTGCAACCATCAGCAGCCGCACTTTCACGGCTGCTCTGTCTTCGAGTAGATGACATGAAAACGGAAAACTGTATCATCACTCGTGTATTCTTTACTCTCGAGAATCATTTTAACATACGGCGTCTTCTTTCTTTTCCGCCCTGAACACAGACACTGCTATTCTACAACAGGTCAATTTCAACTGTTTTTTTGTCTTTTTTCTTTTTAAGACCTCTTAAGGCGCGTGTGGTAAGGATTACTGGGTTATTATGTTTGACCATCATTGCAGTACAGAAAGAGTGAAGTAACTTTAAATCTTCACTAAAAGGCTCATATTTGTGACCTTGCACCAAACTAACATGAGTGAAGTAAAAAAATGACGATTTCTGTTGCTTCAACTCCAGTTGCGTACTTTCTTATGAGCCAGTTACTCTTTCATATTGGTCTTAATCTACGTGAGATTACTTATCTGTTTAGTTTATCTTATTTATTTATTTACTTTTCTTAAATGCTTCACATCGCCATCTTGCCTCAACGCTAAGGTCGAACATATAGCGTATAAAATATCTGAGTTGTTATCTGATTGGTTGATTACAGTAGAAAAGCTCAACCGGATTGGTTAGCGTTTGTTCTATTTAAATTGATTTATCTGTAATGGGAAAATTTGGCTCTGCATCTCCAACAATAATCGGTGTGCTTTGAATTAATGAGATCTTTTCTTAATCACACACACACACACACACACACACAGATCATGATTATATTATAAGTATTATTATATTTTTAGTTTTAATAAGTTTCCACATAACGCAAAAAAGTTGATCTCGTATTTCAGACATTTCTTTAGTTTAAATAAAAAACTAAATTTATTTTCAGTTTTTAAAAATAAGACATTATACAAATGTCTTTAACTACATTATTGATGATAGAGCAGCTAGAATTCTCCAGAAAAAAGCTTTTCTGCTGTCTTCTCATCTGTACGATCCCCTTCCCTATCAGTTCATTTGATAAAGTGTTTATATTGTTAGAGACACAAATATGTGTGCCTGTATGCGTGTAGGTTTAGACTGGAATTTGTGAACATTTTTAGATCTGTTTAATGAACGTGTAAATTTATATCTTTTAAAATATTTTCTAAATTTTGATTAACAAATAAGCTTTAAAAACATTGGGATCAAGTGAAAAACAGCAGTAACTTATTCTCTTTAAAATATTATTCTATATAGAATAAATCTAATTTGCTCTGTTGTGTCATTCTTTCAAAAGCCGTTAAGAGATTTTGATAATTTCAAATCGTTCTATAAATTATATCGATTTGCCAGAATTGATTTCTTGCTACTGACATTAAACCTATAGTCAATCTAATCTGCTATTGTGTAATAACATGCTCTCCGTTTTTTACATTTTTACCTAGAATTCATTGTGTTGTCAGAGCAAGAGACTTCCTTTAACGTGAATTAGGTGGCATGATAATAAACTATATAAAAGAAAGAGATCCACAAAACACACTTTTTCTTTTTTTTTTCTTTTGGTCTTCTTTGCGGTAGCTAGAAAACGTGTCTCATTTTACTCCGGGGAGATAGCAACCGGGTAAACCGACTACCTAATTTCAACCAAACCACGTCTCTCTCTCTCTCTTTCTTTCTCTCTCTCTCTCTCTCTCTCTCTCTCTCTCTCTCTCTCTCTCTCTCTCTCTCATATATATATATTTTCCGGAGTGGTGATCATTTGCAAATGATTATAACATACATAGTTATACATTTTTCCTCACCGGTAGCACAACTACATGTGTTTCATACACAATGCAATCGTCAGATGCTATTTGAAAAGGCTTGATTTTTCTACATTCATTGCATACACTTTTAGTTACACCTTTAATGAGCAATTTAATCCAATAATTGATACAGTTTTGTAACGGTATTGTAGGTGATAACTTTGAATTTTGTTATAGTTCAATTGTGCTACAAGCAAGACTTGTATTTTATTTTAAGGAATTTGTTTGCATTTTAAGTAATCAACCAAAAGGAGTTATATATATCCAGGTAAAATCAGAACAAATGGAGTATGATTGCACTGTACGTAACATTTAATTTAAAAAAAGAGCTCAGTATATAGCAGATCTAAATATTATTTATTTTAGGATATTACTACTTATAGCTTGAAGATTATAAAGAAGCATAATAAAAATATGTTAGACCAATTTAAAAATTTGGATAATAATAGACATCCCAAAATAAACACTGTTAATAATATTAACCGATGTAATTGGAAGGATTCTAACGAATGACCATTACGAAACCAATGTTTAACCACCTCTCTTGTTTATCTAAGTACTATTTCTACAATAGAGAATCTGACTGTTGCAAAATTTTATATTGGTAGCACTAAGAATTCTTTTAAGACTAGGTGGTATCAACATGTCTTATCCTACACCAACAGTATAAAAACAGTATATCCATTTCTAAATATTTTTTGAATTTAAAAGAAGGTAATAAAACTCCTAAGGTAAAAATGGAAAATTTTTAAAAAAAGCTTTAGCATGTAGATCTTTAAATGAACCCTGTTTGCTATGCTTATATGAAAAATTAGAAATTATCAGATTTTTTGATAAACACTCATTATTAAACCAAAGAAGTGAATTGATTGTAAATTGTAGACATAGCCTGCCTTTTACCTTACAGTATGTCTAAACTTTGAATTTGATAATACTTTTTCTTATAATAATAATCAATAGATGAACTACTGTGCACATTATATTTGTATGATTCATTTTGATTTAATATTGCTTTGTATTGATGTTTAGCTAGTATTATTAATATCTTACATGATGTACAGGTATTTGGTTGGTATTATTAACATCTTATATGATGCTCTTTATTTAACGGTTGCATATTAATTTGCTAAAGTAGTTCTGTATTTCTGATACATTTTTTTCGAACTGTTAAATTGTTTGCTAGTTCCTTAAAGGGGTCTTTTATTTATCAACTACAAAATTTTATGTAAGCTGGACGAGCATATGACTGGGTAACATTATGTTAAATACCTCCCCATCTTTTTCGTTTTTGCTTCTTGAGAAGTTTGAGCGTCAGACTTCGATACATCTTACGAAATAATATAATAATCTGTATCTGACCATAAGGAAAGGTTTACATGCAGAAAACTTCGTGTCATGATCTATATTAAAATTTTTTGGCTGTGAATTAGAATTTAGCGTAAGTCACATTCGATTGGTTAATCACGGCAAAGCTCACAAGTCTATTTTTCAAAGTATTCTGGTTTTTTAAATTAATCTTTCACTTACCAGTAGGTTAACATCGCCTAAAGAGACACATTTATGGTGTCGAAACATAATTGTAATTGTGTAACGATTTTTAACATGTTTTAATATCCTAAAATAAATTATATATATATATATATATATATATAATCGACTCTCCCGTCTAGATTCGACGTATGAGGGTCAAGCAGATCAGTTTCCAGGAAACCGGCAGCCCGATACCGGCATATGAGATTTGATTATAGTGGTGAAGGCCTCGTGCAGGACCATCCACACTTTTTGAAGGGACGAATACAGAGACCTGGTGCACCGAATGCCACAAAGTTCCCAAACGACCCTCCGCAGGTTTTGATTTCAGAGTTGTCCTTCTCCTAGACCAGTTGCCATCCAAGGCTATAGAACCCAGTCTGTCCTGCTATTTTACCCATAGGGAGAGGGAGAGGATTCATACCTTCCCCAAGGGTATTAGCAAGTAAGTGAATGTAATGGATTCGACTGGAATTCGAACTAGGCTCTGCGATTCCTCAATCCAAGCCGCTATCCATTACTCCACCGTGCATGCGTATATATATATATATATATATATATATATATATATATATATATATATATATTATATATATATAAATATATATATATATATATGTTTGCTTCATACAAGTTTTATTAAACAACTAGTCGAATTACCCGCCTCTTGCTGCGGTCACATATTTTTTTGCAAGAAAACGATTGATTTTAAATCATTGTTATCATTTGTGGAGAAAAATATTACTCAATGATCTTGCCGATGCGACCTCCATCTTCTGGCTTTCTCCTATATATTGGATAGGAATCATTCGTTTGTTCAAATTTAAATCAAAGGGAAAAAATTCAGTGGGGGTTTTGTGCAGAAACAGATTGATTTGACCCCTTTGATATACATTTGATGCAATACTTGATCGAATGAATTGATGAGTAAATTTCAACATTAATATGACAGTTCAGTTGTCGCAACAAATATGTATTGTAAAGCATTACCCACTGATTGGTGATTTTTTGCTCAACTTGACGTCCATATTGTTTCATTTTGATCTTGCCGAGGTGACCTCCATCTTCTGGATTTCTTCTTCTATATTTTGGGTAGGAGCCATTCCCTTGTTCAGATTTAAATTGAACTTAAAGGGAAAAAATCAGTGGGGGTTTGTGCCTTCCAGGGACCCCATTTGATCAAAATGAAATATACTTATCCCAGTATCGTGGGTAATGTAGTTTCCAAATATATTTGGTTATGGGGATCGATCTCCAAAATCCTATGAGGCGTTCGATAATAAACAAGCAGACAGAAGCTACAACTTTATATATATAGATATCGATAAGGTATTATTATGCTAATAACGATAATTTCATCACTTATATCACTTATAATTTTTTATCAAATAAAAAAATTCACAGGTAAAAGTTCATGCTTTCTTTATTATAAAAGCGAATGACCTCACAAATATCAAATAAGTGTTATAACAAATATGATCAACTGTGCAAAAGTCATTTCCTCTTCGGACACATTGTTTTATAGAGAATTAAGCAATATCAAACAAACATTTATCAACAATAATTTTCGAAACGATGTTGTTGACGAAGAAATAAAATTGGCTTTAAAGAAATTTAGAGTAGATAGGTTCGTCTATCACCCAGTTTACAGTCCTCCCCAGTCTTTTGAACAGGTGAAGAGATTTATCCTTTTTTGTTTCTGTCCCTTCAAAAGTTTTCTCATTCTCTTTCACTCCCAGTAGCGCCTTACCTGTTAGTGGTATTGTAGAATCAGATTCCTACATTTTTTTTTAATCTTAAATTTTGTGCAAGTTAAACACATAGAGGCTCCCAGCCAAATATAACAACTGATGTATTTTGATTGGTTGTAAAATATTAATTAGGTGTCGTCAACTACGTCCGAAGGTACCGACCCAAATTTTGACCTCTAGTTGACGCCATAAAATGTAAACATGTTTACGAGCCTCCCCACGTGACCAAGAGAATTAATAAAAACGAAACTTCGACGCGACTTGATCAGTGGGCACTTAAAATATTGAAACCAATTCACTTGACTACATTGGAAATCAACACAGCAAAGGAGACGAACTTTATCTTCAATACAACAACAAACTTAACGCTCACTCCCACAAAATATTCCATTCCACAAGAATCTCTGGTTAATGAGCGATAACAATCAGTGAGTCAAGAACAATACTTTTTTTCTATTTAATACACAAAAAAACATCTGTTTAATTTTCCTACAAAAACAAATATAGCTAACTAAACCTTGTCATTTTCACACATACAGTACAGTAGCTCAAATTCTTTCAGTAACACACACACACACCAAAGAACTCTATTGTGTTTATCAACTTTTGCACTATATATTATGTATTTGTTGTGTTTATGAAAAATATTTATTGTTGAACAAATTCACATTTTCTTCTACTTGATTATTTCTCTTGTTGTTGTCTTTGTTACATTTGATATTGTAAAAATTGTAGAGGGTCAGTTTTTATTTCTATTTATAACCAATACAAATTGGCTGACCCACTATAGTATTTAAGCATTGCTTGGGAAGAATTGATTAAGAATAAAGAAAGGAAAAAATAACACCAGTAATCATAATAAACAAAAATAAAGAGTCCATTAAATTATTCTATTGTAAGCGGATGCATCCTCATTATAAACAAGATGAAAAGGCTATTAAAATATAATTCACCGGTATATGACTGCTATTCATCTTAAATACTTTAGATTTATCATTTATTGCAAAAAATCTACTGTATTTAAAAATAACAGTTACGAAATTCCGTCTTCGGTTTAATAACAATAAGAAAACTATCAAAAACAACAACATTAATTTCACTGTAGCTGCACATTTCAACCAACATTCGACCATAGTATTGATAACGTTAGCTTTTAGCATTTTCATTTAAATGGCAAGGAGACACGGTGGAGTAATGGATAGCGGCTCGGATTGAGGAATCGAATCCATTACATTCACTTACGTGCTAATACCCTTGGGTATTGGGATTTTCCCAATTATATTTGATAACAAAAATATTGTGACGCCGGCAAGAAGAAAGTAACACAAACACAGTTGAAAATGTTTGAAAAAACTTGTATTGCAGGAAAAGAGAGGAAAGTTTCATTGCAAACAGTCGGTTTTTCGGAACTTATCTGAAAGATGCGTCCTTTTAACAGTTTTATATTTCCTGTGTCGTTTTGACTGGGTTGAAGAAAATAGAGTCTTGACTTCTGTGCTTCAGTTACTGTCTAAACCCACACACGTGTCCTGGTGTTTAGATGACGGAAAGTGCAGACGGGGAACGTGTTGTCTCTGAGGGTCCCAACAAGCAAAAGAGGAAGAGAGTTTGTAAAAAACCGCTCTCGTTGGGGTTTGGTGAAAATCTAAAAAGGTAGCCTGTGATTGATTGTTTTTCATCCAATCTCAGGGCACCCA